TTATGTTTAGGGTATTTTGGTTTTTTGTTTGTTTGTTTTGTTTTGTTATATTGGCACAGAGGGTCCCCCTACTGGAATCATTTAAAAATGCAAAGGATTAGAATGAGTACCCTAAAGAGTTATTTTTACTGTTGAACATAAAGTTTATAAATGTTTCCATTATTCTAAACAAGTGGCAGTTATATTGTCCTTAATTACCTTAAGGTTGAAATGTCTAAATACATAAAAAGAGAATTGCTTTATTAGAAACAGACAACTGAGATTATCCATAATAAAAATAATAGGGCTTGAAGAACATAGAGATTATAAAGGAAATGAAACTCAAAGACAATCACATTTGTTTTAATAATTGGTTTTAAAGTTCTTTCAACTATCAAAACTTGTTACAAAACACAAGAAAGCAGTTTTGAATTTTGACTCACTCTTCAGCTTCCTTCTTTGGTGGTGGTGAAGAACAGAGGGGAACTAGCAACTCTGGATAAAATACAAATTGAATATGTCTCTGCATCACAGTTATGAAATGGTCATCAAACAAGAATATTAATAACATCTAGACTTTGATTGGAATATAGTAAAATCTTTTTGTAAATATCACTTAATAGACTTGTATACTTACAACATACTTGTATAATCCCTATTTACGTGATGCTTCATAAACTCTGTAAAGTACTTTCCTCACAATAACCCCATGAAATTGGTGGTATAAATACTATTATTCTCATTTTACAGTTAAAGGAACTGAGGCTCAGGGAAATTAAGTGACCAAAACAGCTAGTAAAGGCCTACGATAGGATCTGAAGCTAGGCTACCTAACTCCAAGTCCAATACCCTTTCCATTGTGCAGCTGTGCTTTTCATATGCTACTTACATTGATTTCGAGTACATTATTCTATGTGATCCTCACTAACTACCCTGTGTGGTAAACCAGGCAAGTGTTGCCAATTAATCAGTTTATTAGTTCCATTTTACAATTGTGTAAGTTGAGGCTTAGAGAGTTAGTAAGTGGCAGAAATGGGACTCACAGAACTTCAAAAGAATTTGACTCCAGGTCCAATGCTTTTCCCAATACCATGCTGCTTCTCTGGGTTATAGATTTTTAAACATTAAGTACGTTTTACCAGCAAAAGTAACATTACTATTTTGTTGAAAAATGAGGAAGTTATAAAATTATTTAGACCAGTTTTCAAGGGTGTTAATTATAGAGAATACTGAAAGGTGAAATGCATTGAAATCATATAGAAAACCAAGTGGAATATATATCTATAGACATACCTTACATATCAAACATGTACACACACATACCGTTTCACCAGTTCAACTTATCATGAAGACAAAGCTCTTATCTGCCCCCTTCTCCCCTCACCTGTCCCTCTCTGTGCCCAACAAAACAAAACAGAACAACTCAAATACTCCATGATCAGTTCTTAATTATGTGTGTCAATGGGATGAGAAGATGGAGAAGGGAATAGAAAAAAGATTGAGAGGAGAGATGTCAGCTTAGGTCAGCTCTCACACATGAAGCAAAACGCTTCTCTTTAATTAGTACTTTGTATTTGTACTGGTTCAAAAGTAGAGATGATCAAAGGTATTCTATTAACAGCCCAATTTAATCATTACTCCTTGCAGTGAGACAAGTACTCTATATTAAAATTAAGTCCAGCTTTCCTGAAAAATGGCAGCGATGAAGAGACTATCTAGGATGTCCATAGTATAAAAAAATAGAAATCTACCATATAAATGATTTGTTATTTGTACTTATCTACCCAAATTCTTCCCTTAGCTTTCCTTGTATTTAATAACATTTGCAAAATATTTTCCAGGTTGACTATGTGACCAAGAGTTAGGTTCAAGTTAATTGACTTCATCTACGAGATGATTGAACCCAAACCTAATATCCCTTAAGAAATCCCCATTAGGAAAAGTTATGTCTATTTACATAAAATTAAATAGAGTGGGGGGAAAAATGATCCAGAGAACAATAATAGAACAATAATAAAAACATATTCTCCTGAAATAACCAAAGAGTTGGGGTTTAAAAAGTTGGATTATATTAAAATGAGGATTTTTCCCCCTTGTTTATATTTTCCACCTTATGTTTAGACATAGCAAAGGAATTCTTTATATTTCTCATAATGTATCATCTCAATTTATAATAGCACAAGTACTTTGCTTTTCCCAAATCCTAATTTGTATTGTTCTGAACACATTCATATGTGTTATAGAACCAAATCATGCAAATTAACCTGGCACCAGAACCAAACATATTATTTTTTAATATAGTTAATGAAACTAAAAAGTGAAAAAACTGGCAAAGGATACCAAGTGGAAAACATTGGTCACACTTGTGACATGTTTCAGGAGTTCACGTTTTAGTGACTTAAATGGCAAAATCTTAAAATTTCTGATTTTTATGTTTTTGTTACTCTTGAGGCTCTTGAACATGATAGGATAGTTTCAGAACAAATACCATATCAGAAATGTTGCCATGGCTGCATCTTTGTTTTGGTTTATCTCAATCTTTATTATCTCAGATGCTGCCCAGTTGTTTCTAGGGCCTTACCATCTGCCCTGCCTCTACATCCCTGGCACATTTATGTCAACTATTAGGTAACATAAAGACCTCTGAATATTCCATATTTCCTGCTGCCCCACAGTACCCATAGGAGTAAGAGACTTTTTTCTATTTGTCATGCAACTAAACTTTCTTTTAATGTGTTGTATCCCTCAATAAGAACGTGAGTCTAGTAAGCAAGTACTGTCTGGTGTTTTCTATTTGTATCCATGCACATAGTAAGCACTTAATAAATGCTTTTTCATTTATTCAATTACTGGGATGCTGGAGCCCTTTGGTATTCTGATTATGTAGGGTATAGTGGGAAAAGCACAGTATTTGGACTAAGAAAATTTGCATTTGAACACTTGATTCTGTCATCTATGTGACCTTAAGCAAGTTAACGTCTCTGGAGCCTCATCTGTAAAATGAGGGGATTGGAATATGACCCCTACAGTCTCTTCCAGCTCTTATGTATGATCCTTTTCTCTTGCACCCTCATGCCTAACAATGCCATTTCTTAAATGTGGTGCCCAGAACAATATTCCAGACATGTTTGGACCATGGTTAGAGTGTACTTCTCTATACCTAGGTATTATGATTTGTAAATCAGGCCACTAATACATTAGTCTTGGCAGCCATGTCACACTGTCAAATCACATTGTTTGCAATGCACTGAAACCTTTTAGTTCTTTTTCAGGTGACCTAGACATGCCTAGTTTGTACTTGTGAAATCAATTTTTTTAACCCATGTAGGACTTTATATTTATTCCTAATAAATTTCATCAGTGGAATGCCGTGTATAAGGAACAACAAAGCTAGTCTGACTGGACTGTGTAGTGCATGAAGGGGAGTGACATATAATAAGTCTGGAAAGATAGGTTGGGGCCAAGTTGGGTGAGACTTTAAATGCCAAAAAGAGATGTTTGTATTTAATATTAGAATAGAAAACCGTTGGAGTTTATGAGCAGCAGTGATATTCAGATCTGTGCTTAGGCATATCAATTTAGCAGCTGTGTGGAGGATAGAATGGAACATGAAATGGGAAGACCAGTAAGAAGCCTACTGCAATAGTCCAGGTAAGAGGTAGTGAATTGGTAGGTAAGTAGTACCCTTTACATAAATAATAAAGTTCAGAAGTGGGTTTTGGAGGAGTTAACAAGTTCCGTTTGGAACATTTAAGGTTTAAGATGTCTATAATTCTATAGATTAATATATAATAAGATATAATCCTATATCCAGTTGAAAAACATCCAATGGGTAGCTGGTGATGTGGGACTGAAGGTCAATGAGAGGGAAGGCTGTACAGATACACAAATCACCTGTGTAGATCTAATCAAACTCAGGAACTTTTTGAATCTTGTTACGTCAGGTATTCCTCTCAGCTTTCTGTCACCTACAAATTTGGCATGCCATCTATGCTTTAATCAAAATCACTGATCAAGAATTTTAAACAGCATAAGTGCCAAAGAAGATACCTGGGGTACTATCATAGCTTTAGTTTTAGCTTTAGTTTTTAGATGTAATGTAATATTATGCTTTATTATATTTTTATTTGTTTTGTTATGTATTTCCCAATTATATTTTGATTCAGGCTGCTGAAGCTCTGTGTTTGACACCTCTGCCCTAGAGTACTGCCAGCTTCTAAGGGACATACCCATGAAATAATTCAGCTAGTTGGAAATCTATCTACTTGTCTATCTACTACTCTGTGGGAGTCCTATATTGCTCCATTTTGTCTATAATAACAGCTTGATAGACTTTGTCATATGCTTTGCTAACATTCAGGTTAACTGTAGCATTCTCTTAATCTACCATAGAGCTGGAAGGGACCTCATGGGTCTTCTTGTTCCACCCCCCATTTACAGATGAGGAATCAAGCCCCTCAGGGAAGTTAAGTGATTTGCCGAAGGTAACAGAGCACTACTGCTGTGAGTTGGAAGAGGTGAGGTTTGGACAGAGGCCCTGGACTCCAAAATAATGACTCTTTACACTGTACCACAATGCCTCACATTCTAACCAACTTGTTTAAAAAAAGAAAAGGAAAAGTAGTTAGTTTGGCATGGGTTATTATTGACCCTCACATCACTTATTGCAAGGTCAATGGGTTTCAAGGAAAGAATATTAAAAAAAATTTTCCTTAAAAATTCTAAAATAATTTCAGGAAAAGAAAGAGTATTTTAAAGTTGTAGACTAATTATTTCTTTGGTCTCTGACTTTAAATGATTTTAGCCAAATAAGAAACACCATAATATGATATTTTAAAAGTATAGAAAAGAGTAAGTCAATATTACAATACAAATTTTTATCAAGAAACCCACTTCTAAAAGTTCCCATATTATTTACAGGATGTTCTTCTCTTGATCCCAGTGGAAACTTCTAGAATACTGAAATGTGGATTGATGTTAAATTTAGGAAAACACAATAGACAACAACAACAACAATAAAAAAAATAAACCTGACAAATTTATGCCAAATAAATAGGAAAAGTGCAATGAATTGCAATGTAAAAATGCTTTACCCCTAGTATCCCAAATGATATGATCAAATATCAAATGTAAATTCCATGCACCACAGAAATCTAAGGAGGAAACAACAAAAAGCATACATACATAATAAATGTTTGGTTCATTGAGTCTTCAGTTTTCTTTTTAAGGGAAAGATGGCTATACAGCATAAAACTACCTTTTGAATAATTAAGTTTATGGTTATCAAACACTCAGCTTCATTTAGGCATTTAATTAAGCCATTTATTGCTTCAAATGTGTCACCATGAACATTTTAATACACACTCCACAGAAGTAAGGCCTCAGTTTTCACCACCTATAGATTGTGAACCCACCACACATTTGGATTTTTTTTGTGATACTAATTATCACATGTACAACAAAGATTCTGAATGTGCATTTTATAAAACCAGGTGCCTTCACTGTGGACCTTGGCGTATACATCACAGACAATATTAAAAGTTGGCCATATTTTCTGGGATGAGGTAGCTGTTCCATATGTGGCCCAATTATTTGTGGCAGGCTTTAAAAACATTTTATCCATTACTTATCAACTTCACAAAATTTTGGTTTACCACTTTATATATATATTTAGTTTCAGTTTAACCCTTGTCAACGTGTAATTTTTTTCAATGGTAAAAATCAAAATGGATCTAATGAAATCCGTACATTGAAAGTGGCCCCAGCAGCAATTAAGTATATTCCTGGCTCAGAAGCCAAGATAGTGCTGAAAATAAGACGCTATAAAAAACTTTTACCTTTGACTAATTACAGTAAGATGACTGAACTGGAGAAAGTCATGCTGCACCATAGGAAGGAGTATATTATATAATTCAGCGGCATATTCAGACAATATGCTAATAACTGTTATTTTATATAGTTTTCTAAAGGCTTTCTTAATAAGCTATCAACTAAAGGCGTCATTGGTGCTCACTTAAAAAGAAGCCTAACTTGCTTTTATGTTACAACATGGTTGAGAGACATATTATGACAGCTCCGAATCTTAGTGCTTGAAGGGAGCTTGAAGGGATCATCTAATCCAGCCCCCTTGGATAGCATTGCATAGAACTTGCGCTATTTTCTGAACGAGGACTTCCATGTGGTTTTGGGTAAAGATGAAATCTGATGGGCCAACAAAGCTTTCAATATATAGGTATTCAAAAAAGAAACATTAAGAATCTTACATATTTATCCGCTGATCAGAAACTTTCATCTCAGTAGTCAAAACCCATTCATTGCAAAATTTAGGATTTCAATAGCACCTATGGAACAAAAATTCAGTGTTTTACAGGAATTTACAAATGCTGCAGTGACAATCACTCTGGTTTTATAAATAGGAAACTAAGACCCGGAGCATTTAAATGTGACTTAGCTGTCATGATAGTCTGGAGGAAAATAAAAAACAGAATCTAGTTGTAAGCTTCTAACTCAGGGGTCTGCAGTCTATTCATTCAGTTGAGCATTTTGCCTTAAGACATATAATTTTATAATAATCATTTTTATTTTATATAATGTAATTATATCTCTCTGTTTTCCCTTATACACTGAAGTAAAAGGGTATTCCTAAAAAAATAAATTTGCATTTAAAATTTACATTAAAAAGGTATTTTCTTATGTTCACATCACAAATTGCAAACAATATTAAAGAAATCACAGAACAATCTGTATATTATGGGACCATGACCTCTTTAGATAAAATGAGAAAGGTGAAAGGTGATTGGGCTTTAGAAATTTTCGCTATTATCTGTTAAATGTGTAAAATATAAATACAAGTAATTTTAAAAAAATTTTATTTTAACACCTAATACAGTTCCAATTTTAAGGATTACTTGCACAAAAAAATAAACACATTTGGTATAAAAATTTATCACTTTAACACCCTTTTCCCTCAAGCCCTCCCACCCCACCCTCATGAACTGCATCCTGTTTTGATGCAGAAACATATAAAGACTAATGGCACAAATTCATTTTTACTCTACAGGAGTTTCTGTTTATGTACCCAAGTACTCTAGAGGACACCAGCCCACTTTATACATGAACCATTTTCTTCAGCCTGCTGAATTTAGTTTCACAAAGAAACAAAGCTATAAAGGCATTTAAAAACCATTATCTTAAATTCTTTTTAGAAGCACTGACTTTTTTTTTTTTGCAACCAGTTATATACATAGTGTTACATAACAGCTCTGGAGTACAGTACATGCAGCAGAATATACCTGTTAGATATAAAATACTTTTCTTAAAATCTTCATCGTTGGAATTCTTTGAAGATTAAATAATAGAATGCCCATTACTTCGAGAAAATGGCTGGAGAGTACAAATGTCTGCATATGTTGGCCACTGAAATAATCCAAGGCTAACTGGAATAGTATTTATAGCACACTGGGAGTGCATAAATAATTTACTTACATTATTAAAACACAACTAATAAAATTAATAGTTCAAGATCTTATAGGACTGCCTATATTAATCCTTTAAGTGGTTGCCAGGAAATGTGGTTTGATGTTTAAGTCCCGTATAAAATGCTTTGCATGAAGCTTTTCCCAAGTTTATTTATGTCTACTGCCTCTTCTCTTCATTGCAGCTGTACACTGTGGACAGTACCATTTTCCTTTTGGTGCTTCCGTCAATCCAACACATCCATAATGGAACCACTCTATAGGGCACTAGAAAACAAAATGGCAACAAAAGTCTATTACCATTAAAAAAAATCCCCCAAACCAATAACTGACAGACTATTTTAATTTAATTACTACTGTAATCATATTATAAAGTTTTTAGAGCTAAGGGGTGCGTGCCTGTGTGTGTGTGTATACATATGTAAAACAGTTAAAATGCACATTGTGTTTTACAGTGTACAGAGCTTTACTACTATTCTGAGATGCAGTCTAGCTCTTTTGTTTTACAAGTGAGAAAACAAAGAATCTGACTTCTGATAAACTTATTTATTAATAACTGGAATATCTACAATTAGCAATTCACTCTATTTCATTAGATGGAAAAGTTGATATGTAACCCCTCTAGACCAAAGAGAAGCTAAGAGACACCTTGTATATAAGATGAATATATTTTAAATGTTTTTTAAAATTTTGCCTTACTCCCTCAAAAGTGTCAAAGCATGTCACAGATAAAAACATTTATCTTTTTGTGTATTTACAATATTCAGAGGTCAGCTCTTACACACACAAGAAAACATAGGTGTTTTGCAGTTATACTGCTGCATCTGAGTATAAAAAAAACATTTCTAAGAAAAGAAATGGGGCATGGATGGAGCAGGAAAGAAGCTGGTCAGTATGTTACATGAACAAAGGTGGTGCTAATTACCTTCACCAAGTGTCCAAATAAAAGTTTTTCTGTGCCATTTAAAAAATAATACAATAAAACTCTTTGGCAGAACTCACTCACGGCTAGGTAAGTGATTCTGGGAAGAAGAAGAAGATGTTGCTAGTGACCTCCCAGCCTACTCCTTCCTCTCTAAAACACAAAAGGGATGATAAGATAAAATAAAATGTAAAAGCTGAATCATCATGTTCCTCTTAATCTCAAGCTGTCTTCTAAATTTCAAATCTGATTTCATTACTAGAATTTCTGTATGACTACTTAATTCTTCCTCCTTGCCACTTTTATAAAATTCAATGGTCTGGCTATAGTTGAACAATAATAAAAGACAAGAAGAATGATATGAATATAGAACAAAAGTACCAGGATAATAAATATTGTTTTCTCAGCATTTAATGAAACCAAATCCAAAACAGGCTCCCTTTTTATGGAAAAGACTCTTTTTCAAAAATCTTTAAAAATAAATCAACAAATAACTTCTATGTCTCTACTTCCTTAAGGTCAGTGTGGTATCTATCCTTATATCCCAAATGCCTTACATAAGTTAGAAAACAAACATTAGTGTTCATCATTTGTAAGACAGTATGTGTCACTGTCTTACAGATGGTAATTTAATTAACAGAAGAGGAATGTAATTCAAAGATATCCATAATTTCCTCAAACACTCTCTAAAGCATTCCTTTTCAACATTCTTTTAGGACAAAGATGTGTCAAAAGTTATAAAACTAGCATTACATTTTAATACTTAGTAAATTTAAGGGCATTATTTACTTTTGGAATGTTCCAACATTACAAAAGCATCCATCAACAACCATAATAAACTTATATAGCTAGGGCCTTCCCACTCCTCTCCCCCACATGCAAAATTCACTTTGTTTTCATTTGGTATATAATCTGTAGATACCTACAAATGTCCATGCGTTTTTCCCCAACAGGATGTAATGTGAGGTAAGGGACCATTTCTCTTTTGTTTTTATATTCTCAGTGCCTAGCACCATGTTTATCACACAGTAGGCTGTTAATCAATGCCTGATGATTGATTTCAATTTCCTCGACCCCAAATTCATAACAAACAAAAACCTGTTTCTCTGGTATGTAAATACAGTTTTGAGATTGTATCACAGAACTAAAAGACAAACTTCAAATACTACAAAGTCTATGTTTTTTATCATTCCAGTATATGTAATTTTGATACTTACATCTTGGTTATCACATCCTACCATTTCACCATAGGATACCTAATTAAAAAAAAAATTAAATGTGAATATCTAACAAATACCTAACAAAAATACTCTGAATGTTCAAAATACACTTAATCCTTGTAATCCCTAACTTATATGCTTCTTATACAATACCTTACAAATAATTATATATGAGTCTCACATATAAATGGCCGCCCCACTTGGGTGACCCTCCCCCTCTTCTCTCTGCTACTATTGCCACAGCTTGGGATTTTCCTCTTTCCATCTTCCTCCTAGCCTACTGCTCCCTTAAACTACTCATTCCAACCTCTGCTTTGCCTCTCACCTTACATCAGGGCCAGCAGAGGATTAGGAGGCAAGAACGACATTAGTAAAGGAAAAAGGATGGTAAGTCTCTGGAAGACTCTTTTCACTACCTCCCCACTTCTACTAACAACCTTCCCCCACCCCATCTCATCATCCTCCCTCATCTTTGGAGGTCCTTCTTCTCTTCAGCTCTAGCCTAATGATGCTGTTGTTCTTAAATGTTATATGAATTTCAATCCTTAATTATGCCTGGGGCCAGGGAGGGAAGAAGAGGAGACAGAGAACTAAACAAAGGAGAAACTTTTAAAACTTTTCATTGGAGATTACCTCCAAACCACTGCCGGCACTACAAGGCTGGAAAGGCTTTGAATACAGTCTTGATAAGACAGTCTATCTTCTGTCTGAAGATCAACTTAGCTAAGTACAGGTTATCACAAAATGGGTGGTCACCAGACAATGAATTCTTTTGGCCAGGATGACCTATGACACTGACAAAATACAAAAAGCCCTGATCTCCATATATATAGTGGTCATGGCAACATAACAGAAAAAGCAAGGATCAAGTGGTAAGAATGAGTTTTTAGATCATCTGCAAACACTAGTATAACTGTTGGTATGCAATGTAAGATTTTTGTTCAATAACTAACAAGTTGATAAATCACTGGAATTAATTCTATTCATGCAGAAAATCTCACTATAAACAAAATGAGAAGAAATAAAGAATTTATAGTTCAATAGAAGATTGGTCCAGAGGTTCTCTTTGGATAGGTGAATATAGGAATTAGAGATGATTTTACTGTGTACTCAAAGTCACAAGAAAAGACATTTTATGGCACATCTGATCATCTTGCCTTGATGGTACTCATGATAAGCATAAGTAAACTGATCACGATGAAGATAATTCCAGTTTATAAACCAACATTTACTATACAATATAAAGCAGTAGAGAAATTTATGAAGAATTGGACAAAGTCATTTAATAAAGGTTAACACATGCCCAGCTACTCTATGACTTCAATGCAAAGGTATGCATAGGTAAGATGATAAAAAAATTTTTTGAAAAAATGAAGTTTGGAATCAAGAAATGAAAAAGGACAAATGCTAGAAGACTATGCAGAAATTTTACACTGGCATCACAAACCGTTTCTTTAGGAAGAGAACTGGAAGATGCTAGAGCCTCAAACATCCTCACAAAAAAAAAAAGAAGAAACTGACTACATCTTGACTAGAAAATGCTGAATTACTGATATGGAAGTCATTCTGAATCCACTGTCTTGTGTATTGTACAATTAATAATTGGTTAGAACAAAAATCAACCCAAATATATTTAAATTGGTATGGTGAAAGTGTGTCAAAGATTCTCCTCCAACTAGGCATCTCCTATGTATGACTTAATATTATGCAAAATTCTATAATAAATGCAACTGATCAGGTAAAATGTTCAACCATCAACAAGTGAAGAAACGAATGAAACAGACAACATGTTTATGAAAAGATGCTCACATTGCTTTCGTTGAGAATGTTTCATACAAAGTCCTAACAAAAGAGGAATTCTGATCTATGGTAAGGTATTGCAGATGCTTCTGTTTGTGGATGACTTTGTACTGATTTGTACTACACATCAGAATACTGGGCCTCTTATGAAACCGATGATTGCCAAAAACAAAAAACACTCTAGCAATTCATGCAGGAAAAAAAAATAAGCGGATAGAGAATACAAGTTGCCCAGATATTGACACATAATTAGACAGGTGGCCCATTAACTTAGTCTATCAGTGGGTACATGTTAGGCAGAAGATCCAGTTTGACAATGAGCTGGGTAAAAAACTGAATAGGATCAGATAAGGCTAGATTGAATCTGGGAAAATGTAGCACTTTTAATCTTTCCAAGTTGCTCAGTGCTGAAAACAATGTACTCTAAACTCTATCAACTCATATTTTAAATGCTAGCATTATTCCAGTGATGAAATATGGTTGCAAATCAAAGAAAAACTTGATCTTAAAATCACAACAACATATGACCAGAAAAGAAAACAGAAAATGCATTTGGTCTAAGTAGGCATTGCTATTTCTTGTACATTAGAAAGGATATAAACAATTATCAAGGACATTTATGAGATGGGTTGATCATATAGTAACAATCAGTAATAACAGATGGGCAGTTCAAGTCCTACAGTAGTAAGCAAAAAATATTTTAAAAAGCAAAGATCAGGCCTCAGACACTTGACATTTACTAGCTATGTGACCCTGGGCAAGTCACTTAACCCCAATTGCCTCACCAAAAACAAAACAAAAACAAACAAAAAAGCAGAAGAAGAGAGCCAATATAATAAAAATGACAATTCTACCTAAACTAATCTACTATTCAATGCCATCCCAATTAAATTACCAAAAAATTATTTTATGAACTAGAAAAAATAATAATAAAATTCATTTGGAAGAAGAAAAGTTCAAGAATATCAAAGGAATTAATGAAAAAAAATCTAAAGGAAGGATATTTAGAAGTACCCTTAGGAAAAAACCTCCAAAGTGGGGTGCATGCGTGTGTGTGTGTGTGTCTCCGTTTAGCACAGAAGAACAGGAGAAATTTTGTTTTGTTTTGTTTTGTAATGGATCACAGGAGAGGAATACTGGTTGGGAAAAAACAGGTGATGACAATGGAAAGGAAAGCAGGTCTTTCAAAGAAAAGAAATGAGATAAATGAGTCAGGCCAAGATGACCCCTGTTTCTTAGCCTTTGCCTCAGACCACAAAGCCACAACTTTGTGCATGGAACTGGGAAAGCACAACTTTGTGCTCCTACTGTGGGAATGGATGTTACAGATTCCTAGTTTCCTCAGTAAGCAATCTGAATACATTTTCTCATAGAAACATTTTTATGAAAGCTCATTTCTATAATTCTAGTAGTTCAGATCTACAGTTTGGTTACATTATATACTTAAAAAGAATTTAGATGGGTAGGAAGAGGAAGTAGCAGACACTAGGAATCTAGATAACATCTATGATATTGCTTCTATGGGAAAGTGGTCCATAGTTTAAAATGACTATGAACTTTTAACAATACAGCACTTCCATAAGTATTTATACTCATAAAATATGAAAAATGAAACCCTAAAATCTTTATGCAAAATAAACTTTACATTTTATTAAAAAAAGTGGAATAACATAGAGCCTCGGTTCCCAAATTCACATGTACATACTAAGTAAAAATAGAATATTTCACAAGCTGATGAAAACTGTAATAAATGAAGCAGGTATCACTGCGTGCATTTACAATATACAAAATAGGAAATTATTAAGGTTTTTTACTTTTTGGGGGGCAAGTATAAAGTTCTTATATTTGCCCCAAAAGTTTCAGGTTAAGTAACTGAGTATTCAGCAGAGGAGCTTATGGTTGTGGCATTCTTGCACTTTCATAGGCTAGTTTATTCTCCCTCCTAACAAAATAAGGAATAAACAAACATTAAAATAAAAAGCATGTACACAATTAAGTATATTTGCTTCTGGAATTTTTCTAGCTCATGAAATGGTAAATATGAATCTTATTTTCTAAAAAAGGGTTTCCTTGCCTCAAATGACCAACTCATTCATTTTGGTGTGTAATTTCATGCCTTCTGCTTACACAGCTATGTCTGTGTACTAGATCTGCAATATATATTGCATTAAAATCCAGAACCAATGGCATTATCCAAAGTCTTTCAGGGAAATGATTGAAAGGATATACTAATACAAGAAATTAATGGAGAAGGGAAGGTAGAGTCTTTTAAGAATTAAACTGTTTTCTAAATTGGTTTTGTTTTTCACTTAATCTGGATTATGAGTATACTGGATATTTACCTGATTACAAATACAGTAACGTGGTTCATTTGGGTCATAAGTCCAATCAACTTGATTATTTGAATCAGACTCTGGTATTGTTGCTGTTTGTTGAGAGAGTTCTTGTGCTAATGCTGATGATGAGGAACATGATGATAAAGAGGAAGAAGAGGAGGAAGACGATGACTGCTGGCTTGAAGACTTGTTGTTGTTTCTGAAAAATAGCAACAATTTTATTTGGTAGATAATCCAGGGAAAGTCAACTAAAGAATTTTTATACAGATGACTGAAAGGAAAGAATTTGATTATATTACTTAGTATTTACTTTTAATATGTAATTTAAAAAATTATTTCAAATATAAGAATGAAAACTTTATGGAATGGGGAAAAAAAAAAGATGTGACAAAGACTCCTGAAAAGTAGTTTATCGTTACTGAATTGCTTTTTATGGCTGCTGAATTATTAGTGACTGAGCCTCCTACTTTACTGAAAAGGCTGAGGCTTTCTGATATAAACTCCGTCAGTTCCCCATTTCTATTCTTTTTTTTTTAAATTAATCTATTTTGATTTATCAACAATCACTTCCATATGTTTTTGAGTTTTAATTTTTCTCTCCCTCCCTCCCCACCACCCTGTCCAAGATGGCATGCAATTTGATTTAGGCTATACATATACATTCCTATTAAACACATTTTCACATTAATGATGTTGTAAGTAAGAATTAGAACCAATAGGAGGAACCACCAGAAAGAGGAAACAAAACTCAACAGAAAAAAAAAAAGCAAATAGTATGCTTTGATCTGCATTCAAACTCCATAGTTCTAGTTGATCCTTGGTTATTGTAATCCAAGCTCCTTTGCCTTTCGGAATATCTTGTTCCATGCCCTGCAGTCTTTTAATGTAGAAGCTGCAAGGTCCTGTGTAATCCTAACTGTGGTTCCATGATATTTAAAATGTTTCTTTCTGGCTGCTTGCTGTATTTTCTCTTTGATCTGGCAATTTTGGAATTTGGCTACCATATTCTTTGGTGTTTTCAATTTGGGATCTCTTTCAGGAGGGGATCAGTGGATTCTTTCTATGGCTATTTTACCCTCTGGTTCTAGGACCTCAGGGATTCCTTTTGATTTCTTCAGCTCCTCTCAGATGGATGTTGTAGGATGTTTATCTGCCTGGGGCCCCTTGCAGCGCTGCTTCCCTTAGTTTTGCTGAGGCACTGGGAGACCTGGTTGCTGTAGAATGCCAAGACACCTGGTGGTTTTCCAAGCTGGTTTCCACCAGTTCCCTGCCCTCACTGAGGCATTCGGGGGTCCAGGTGTTGGTGTTCACCTGCTCCACCACCTGGGTTTCAGGATCTCCTCCTGATATGCTGAAGTGGGGCTTTATGCTAACTTGCTGGGATGCCTCCCATTCTTTTTGCTCCCCTTCTCCTAGGGCAAGAGGCGCCTTTCCCATTAATTCCTCAAGCTACCTGGGCTACTGGACTGCTGCACCCCATCTTTCTTCTGGTTCAGCTGTTTCAGGGTTTTTCCTGGGGCGACATTTTCTGGGCTTTCAGAGGTTAATCCCCTCATCATCATCATCATCATCATCATCATTATTTAACTCTTCTTCCCTTAGTTATACGTATCCCTACTACTTACTAAGACTAACTTCTAGGTTTGCACTCTTGATCTGATCCTACTTCCTCCTGCCTTCTTTAGGACCTTATTCTGATAGTTATCCCCTTCACCCCAACCTAAAAAAAAGACCTCCCTTGATATTGTAGCTACAATCCCATCTCTAGTCCCCTAGCTTCCTGAAGAAATGGAATAAATTTAATGCTTCCAATTTCCCTATATCCTCCCTTAAACCCAGCAAGGCTACCACTGAGCTCCTAATCAACAAATCCAGCTTTTTCCCCTTGTCATTATCCTCTATGACCTCTTTGTAGTTTTTGACACTGCTGTCTTACCAGATACTTTCTCCTTCTAACCATATTGCCTTGTTCTTCTACCTGTAATTGTTCCTAGATGTACTTCAGCCATTCCTCCTTTTATTCCTAACTCCCTTAATGTGGATGAATGCTCCTTAAAGATTTGTTTTAGGTCTTTTCCCCTTCTTTCTATAGTCTCTTCCTTGGCAGTCTCATTCACTTCTATAGCTTCAATTATCAATTTTATGTAGATGACTTCTACATATTTGTCCCCAGTTTTGACTTCTCTGAGCTCTAGACCCATATCCGATGGCCTTCATGACATCTCCACTGGGATGTCCAAAGCACATCCTACACCTAAATGTCATTGTCTTTGTAGGAATAGGAATAAAAGTTAAGCAACAATCCTCAATTGACTTACCCTACTAATTATTCCTGCTCAGTACTTTTGCAGTCTATATCACTATTTAAAAATGCAGATGAACAGGTTGTATAGTTCCCAGAAAGAATGCTTTAGGGGATTTGTTTTAAAACAAATAAAGTTAGTTACGACAAAAATAAAAACAAAAAAACTTACTTGCTTTTTCGACCACTCCGTGAGTCTGTTGCTGCTGAACTTATGGTCTGAGTTAATGTAGATGCCAATGCTGATGAAGAATAGCCAGTGGATTCCCTAGCTAACGAAAATTCTCTTCCTAGCTGGAAGTCATTATTTTTAAAAGCTTCATAGCTAGCCTTTAAACTTGATGTTCTTCTACCTTCTTTCATCTAGAAAAAGATATTTGACAGTATTAGAATATATAATCATTATAATATTACTTTCCTTGTATTGGCTAACTTTAATCTTATTGTAGTTCAAACTATTGCCTCTGAATATTAAAAAGTAGGCATTATACAGTCATGAAAATATGTACTTATCTTCTTACCAGAGGCACTAAAAAAAAAGTCTGTAAATTCTAAGCTGGGCAAATGTGCCAATATCTGCAATGGGATGAACAACCTCAAAAACTACAAAAAAAACCCAAAACAACAAACCCCAATACAAAAAGGGGTACAAAAGCCAAAGTGCAATCCTAGCAGATTTTCTAATCATCATCTTACAATCTCCAAACCTGTAATGGTTTGCACTATAAGCTTAACTTGTTAATATTACCCAAGAAAATTAGATATAAAACTATTTCAAATGAACTAATATATTGGACCCAATATAATTTCTTTCATTTAAAAGAATTCAACCTTATCCATATTTTATTATATTTGTTGTTCTGTCCCCATGTCTAACTATCCTTTACCTGGGCTGTGGCTTGAACTGCTTGAGCTGCTGCCATGGTAATTGCCCCGGCTCCAGTTCCTGAAGATAATGAGCCGATGTTATAGGATGCCAGCGGTTGAGAAGAATTCACATTGTAAGCATTGTTAGAAGAGGTTGAAGAATTATTGTTTCGGCATCCTGGGTGAAATTAAAACACAAGCGAAATTGGAGAAAGTATAATTTCAGTGAGATAAAAAATATTCCTTCCCCATTTAGACAATAATCAATAAATTCAAGGACAATACTGCTTAATTAAAAGAAAGTCAAGATAAATTGGGTTGACTAAGCAAAGTGTCATGGAATTCCGAGGAGAATGAAATTTTTCTGTTTGCTTTCTCCAGTAATAATAACATATAAAACATATGGCATTTTTTAAACAAAGTGCAAACTGCCTAGAATCCTGTTTTTTAAAATTCAACCTTAAAATAAATTTAGAGAAATTTTACAAATTACAGTTAAGAAATTAAAATTACCTGGTGTATTTTCTTTAGAGGCATCCGATGTAAGAGTCGATAGAAGAGCTTCAGATTTAAACTTCTTTTCAGGAATGTGATCTGTTGTAGTATGGTGAGAAGTTGGATTATACTTCCTTTCTGAATAAGAATGAAGAATTACTTGGTTTTTAAATTTTGGTAAACTATGGTCGGGGAAAGTGAGAGTAGTTCTTTCCAAACAGAACTCTGATTGAAGTACTTCAGTTCAGTTATAAATCTTGGGTCTTATAATCTTGTGTGGAAAGGGAAAAAACAACAAGTACCAGGGGTCTCTAGGTGGTGCAACAGATAGAGTGCAAAGGCCCAGAGTCAGGAAGACCTGAGTTCAAATCTGGCCTCAGATACTTACTAGCTCTGTGACCCTGGCTAACTCACTTAACCTCCATTTACTTCAGTTTCCTCATCTGTAAAATGGGGATAATAATAACACCTACCTCCCAGGGTTGTTGTAAGGATCAAATGTGATAATAATTGTAAAGTGCTTAGCATAGGCACATAGAAATCATTATATAAATGTTAGCTATTATTATTACAAAGAGACATAGGTTGATACAATATGATCTGAAAGGGATAATGTACTAAGACCTCAGTGGGTGAGGTTCAGGAAAGGTTTCACATAGAAAGTAGCCTTTGAATTGAGGATCAAAAAGAATTTTTGTTAGTTCAGCCACTGCACTGCCCTAGATCAAAGCCTCAAACACATCTCAAATTTTTGCAACATTTTCTTAACTCATCTCCCTGCCTCAGGTGTCTCCCCACACCAACCCATCCTCCAAAGGAGGATAATTGCCATTGATTTTCCTAAAAACGCAGGTCTGACATGTCATTCTGGTATTCATAAAACTCCAGTGGTTCCCTATTACCTGGAGGAGGCAAACACAAGTTTCTCTGATTGGCATTTCACAACATGGCCCTAATCTACCTTTCCAACCTTATTTTACATTACTCTTCCCTTCTCTAACACCAGAGTTGAGCTAAACTACTTTTCTTATGTTCTTCCTATATAGCATTGTATCTCCTGTCAATGCACTTTTGTAATTGCTTTAATTTGTGCCTGGAATGCATTTAAAATATCTTAGTTTCCTTCAAGGATCAGATAAGTGCCACTTTCTAAATGAAATCATTCTGATGTCCCACCACCCCCCAAGCTGTGTTAGGGGTTTCCCCAAAATTTTCTTGTTCTATTTTAATACTTGTTTTCATATATTCATGTTTTCATGCTGTTCCTGCCAACCACCACTGCATTGTAAGCCCCAAAATGGCAGTTACTCCTCTTTGTATCCCCAATGCCTAACATGAAAATGCTTGTTGACTGATAGACTGAAGTGATCATGAAACATGGCATCTTATTTTCTTGACAGACAAGAAATAGCAAGAAACCAGTAATGTTTCTTTGTTCATTGAAAGTTTACTTTTCAATCTTATATTTTCTACTGCCATAGGGGTAGGAAAATGGACTGGTCCTGTGATTTCATTAGTGTAGGTAGGTGAGGAAACTTCCTCTACCAAAGCAGGTCAACGATCACCTTTTCTGCAGTTTCTAGTCTCAGAGAGTTTTGCACAGGACCATGAGAAGTAAAGTGACCTGCCCAGGATTACACAGCAAGGACACGTATGAGTTGGGACTTGAGCTCTGGTCTTTCCCTGGCTTTGAGGCTGGATCTCCAGGCCCTATGCACTGCAGCCTCTCATGACTGAAGGGGTTTCAAAAGACTCAAAAACTATCCTGAGAGGGTCACTAGGTGTGCCACTCCTTCACAAGACGAGGAGGCTTTCTTCTGTACAATGTTACCCAGAATTTAGAGTCGTGCTGTCATTTTTCTTCCTGACAGATTGCTTCAAAGGAGGAAATACAAGATGTCTGCATCTTATTCTCTCTGCAGTCACCCACTTGTCCTCTTTGACCACTTACTCTAAAGTTGCAGAACAGTGTTTAAAAAAATGAGTATTTCAGAGGAGGAGGAACAGAGGAAGAAGAAAAGGCTGTTCTAATCTTTTACCCCAGTAATGGCTCACAGCAATGGTTTGACAGGGGAGGTAATGCCCAGGGCAAAAGGCAGACTAATAATGAAAGCAATGGGATAATAGGCAAGATGATTAGTTTGCCAAGAAAATGTGCATAGCTCATTACTGAAAGTTTTCTAAACTCACAGTATCTATGCATTAGAATGGGTTTCAATTTTCACATTACATAATTAAGCTATATTAAAATTTCAAACACAATGAAATAAATAAACCCCCCACACTTACTCTCCACTGGTGTGTGCGAATGAGCATGATGATTATTTACTGGTTGTGATGGAGTATCTAATTCCAATGACCCTGAAAAAGAGATATAGAGATAAAGCAGTAAGTTACCATAGAATCTGGCAATTTAGCTACTAGCTACAGCGATTAAGTCCCTCCCTTCCCCATCCACCTGGACTGCCAAACTCTAATCCATATGTTTAGAGACTTAGTTTAGCCTTGTCCAATTGACAGTCATCACTATCCACACTATTACATTTCCCAGATTTTCCTTGAGCCATCCTCAGCTCTGAATAAATTACAAAGGTACATGAAGAGGAACGTGGTAGTCAAACACTGTATCATGATATATTGAAGAGAGATCAAACTTAAGGAGATTATAATGTAATTGGGAAATGTGTAACAAAAACAAAACAAACCAATGTAACACAGATAATGGTATTCTGTGATTTTCTAAGTCATTTCTATTTAAGTCTGACACCACTGGTCTCCTGAAAGAACCCTGGATTTGGTATCACTAGATGGCTTCAGACTCCCCCTGAAACACTTAACTGCCCATATAAGTATAGGGAAATCACTGAACCTCTCTGGACCCCAGTTTACTCCTCTGTCAGCTAATGAGGGAAAAACTTTAAAAACCATTAAGTTTGATTAACCATAACTAGGATTAGACTAGATAATCTCTAACAGCACTTTTAGCTCTAATTCTTATGACCTTCCCTAGACAAAAAAATATATGTATAGACTGCTGGATAATCTGGAAAAAAAAAAGGCTGCTATATAAGTGACTTGATGAACTTTTTAAACTATTTCTCCACTACAATCCTACTCCACTATCTCATCCTAGAGGTTACCCTAGAACATGAGAGCCTGCCAATGGAGCATAAGTTCTGGCAGGTTCTATCATACTGGAAAGACTGAGGCCAAATTAAGAGAGGCTCACTATCAGATTGGCTACAGAGTAACATTTTTTCTGAAAGAATGTCTACTAGGTTATAGATAGATGAAACTTATATTGGAGAAAGGTGGTACTCTACTAGCAAAATGGAATTTCTTATGTAACAGAACTTTGAATTATAAACTCCTTAATGCTGATGGACAAAAAAAAATCTCAACCAAATGTTACTTGACTGTAAGAGTTTTAAGGTAAAAAACCTATGGTTCAAGGAAATACAAGGAAACCTGACCTAGTAGAAAAAGCAAGGGGTCTGCCATCTGATGAACTGGGTTCAAATCCTACTTCATTTTTAAAATGAGTTTATACTAGAGCTTCAAGCTCTAATTCTAAGATTTCATGGCTATTATTACTATATGAAAGAGAATTCATTGTTCAGCAAAATAAGATGTGTTATTCTTCACTTTCACAAGGAGAAAAAGTTAGGTTATTTTCTCTTTGAAAAGCAAGGTAGAAGAGCCACAATGAAAAATACTGTATTGGCTCAAATGTGTGTCACACTGACCTCCAATCTGGCTTGTACAAAAACTGAAAGAAACATATAACCATCACCTCAATGAGAGGGCAACAATGCAAGTGATAAAACGAAGAAAGCAATTTTGACAAAAATGAATAAAAAGTCTTTATCTCAATTGAAAGTAATGTAAAAACTAGTCTGGTACTAAGTATGTTTTGAATGATATGTTTTTTTTTTACATCATTGCTTTTCATTGTATTGGGATCACAACTAGCTCTGTGATTTCCCAGCTGAAAGGCACTCCCAGTTAAGAACTTTCTACCAATGTATCCATACTCTTTCTGCCATTTGTAATTTTAGAGCAGGGATTCTGAGACCCCAGGAGGTCCTGGAATCTGAGGTCTAGGAATTTGTGTGCTTTTTAAAAAATGTATTTTGTATTTAAAATGTATTTCTTTTGTAATCCCATGTATTTTATTCTATGAATTTAAAAAATATTACTCTGAAGATCCAAAGACTTCACTAGCCTGTCAAAGGGGTTCACAACACAACACAGATGAAAGACCCCTCAATGCTTTAACACTGAGAGGTTAAATAACCTGTCCAGGATCCCAAAGCGAGCATTTGTCAAGGGTGGAACTTAAAAACCTCCATTTCTGGTTCCAAGACTAAATTACACCACTTTTCTTTTTAGGGAATAGCTATACATTTGTTTTCTTTAAAAAAAAAATCTTATTTTAGAAGGGCTGCCTATATTGGGAGCAGCCTATATTTGCACCAATAATGGAACAATTTAAAAAACAAATTCTGTCAATGTTTACCTACTTTCCTAAGTTAGAAGACTAAATTTTTTCAAAGAAAGAAAGCATTAGGGAATTAGAGCTTAATGATTTGGAAAGAGGAAACAGCATCATTTTTGCACATAGAAACATAGAGGGGCTATTTTATCCTTTACAAGATGTTCAATCGTCTTATAATCAATGGTAGTTTTAAAAGGATTTTCTGTGTTTGCCTTTGGTTTCTTCAGATGAAATTGTAATAAAGGGCAAGACAGGTGAAGTTGTTAATATAGTTTAACTCACTTTGGTGTTACACTTTTTTGTTCTCATAAAGATAGCTTTATTAACCTTATTAGGCCATATATAGTGTAATTGGAATACTCAAAGCTTACAAGCTGTAAGGCTGTCATTAGAATTTTTTAAGAAGTGTCAAAATGTTGCAAACAGGTCTAATGTTATTCAAATGTGCAGAGAATACTAAGGTTTCTAGAGAGGTAAGTCTTGAGGCCCTCTCAAAATTGAATGCTAACTATAAATCAAATAATTGATCCAAGTCAATTTTTAAAACGCAAAAATTCACCTACATATATGAAAGGTGGTGATTTTATTTTCTAACCTGTTTCCAGAGGTATACCAAATTCTGATGTGACTCTTATTTTGATGACAACCATTTTTTCATTGTTGAAGACATACACACCACATATACATACATATATTTTTTTCTAGGTAATTTAATAATGTTGAGATGATCAAGAAAAGAGGTTCAGCCATCTTGAGAAATTTTTGGCAGAAGCCAAATGTAAAATGGGAATGGGGAAACTATTCATCAGTTGTGAAGTGATGTTTCAGTTAAGTCAGGCTACACTTGTTATGCCCTTCCATTGTAAAAAGTCTTTAGAGGATCCTGAAGGAAAGGAATCCAAAAGCAAGCTGAGGACTTTACAGGGAGAAAATAAAAGCAGTTTATCTCTCTCAAGGAAGAGATTAGGGTAAAGAAGGTTTAGTGGGAAAAAAGAATGTTGCTCTGGAAAATAATGTGGAATTATACTAGATAAGTTACTAAAGTGTTTTTATCCTTTCACTAAGGGATCCCACTAATGAGATTCTATCCTATATACCATATATGTAACAAAACATCTTAGCAGCACTCTTTGTCACTGCAGAAACAAACAAAATGGATACCACTTACTGAGAAATGAATAAGCAAATTGTTTATATATGTGATGGATTATTACTGCATTATTATACAATGAATATGAAGAATAAGTGAAACAAGAGAATATCTGTATGAAGTGATAATGAAAAAACACAACCAAGAAAATAACAGACACAATGACTACAAAAACATAAATAACATAATAAAAGGCAATGAAACTCTGATGAATTTTAATGATCAATTTCAGGCCCTGAGAAGTAATGATCAATCATACTCTTTTCTCAGTAGAGAGGAAGAAGACTAAAGATATAGACAGAACAGGGAAACAATGTAAGTTGGCTTTTCTTAAATGTTTGACTCTGTTACAAGGGGAAATGATTATGGTATAAAACCAAAAATGAATAATACATTTTAAAATATTAAAAGAGGTTATAGATTCAACTAGCAGCTTCCTTTAGAATGAGGGTTTTTTAACTTGGAATCTACAGACCAATAAGAGGTCTGTGGATAGATGTTAAGAGGTCCTGGAAAAAGACCCCCTTGAACTAGGGGAAAAAACTTTATTTTCACTAATTTTGCTATAGTACAAAGTCCTGGTAAACTTCCATAAAGGAGGGAAAATGAACAATCTTCTCTTAAGAATACACAGATACTTTAAAATGTATAGTCAATAAGTCAGTAAGTCAATAAGCATTTATTGACCACCTACTATGTGCCAGGCACTGTGCAATGGGTAACAATTTGTGACAGAAGTACTTAACCAAGGGATTACATTTCTTTTAGTCTTTGCTTTAACTGGCTGTCTTAATGTTATAAGCAAATGCTGAATATTATAAACATTAAAAAAACATGACAGGCAACTGGGAGGGGGGGAGATGGAACAGAGAGATGGCCTGGGAGTCAGAAAGATCTGAGTTTAAGTCCTGCTTCTGCCACTTACTGGCTGTGTGATCTTAACCGCTCTTAACCTCTCAGTGCCCTATACAACTCTCTAAGACTAAACTGCTGACTGGTTAGAGATCTGCACTGGTAGAGGAGGTATCCTCACTGGAAATCCTTATACAAATGAAATACAAGGTCAGTCTGAAAATAAAAACAACAACATCATTCTAGTAAACTGATATCATTAACTGAAAAGGCACCAGTGAATGAGCTGCATACTTTCTCTACTTTCCTGAGGTATCCATACCTGAACACAAGCAAAAATGCTGGACCCATATTAACCTTAAAAGGGTGCCATCTTTGCCATCTTCCATTAACCTTATAGCAGCTTCCCAAAAGGCTTAGAGGAATTTAAAAGCATCTGTGGGGCAAATTCTCCAACGCCATCCATCTACTTTCCAATATTTAAAACTTAACATTTACTTACGTCTCTCTAATATTTCTGTAATTCCAGCATTATCAGCTTCTAGCTCCATTTTAAACTTAGCCAGTTCTTGATCCAACTTTCTCAAGTGTCGATCTACCTGTTTGGAAAAAGATCAAAGGTAACCACCAAAATTCAGGACTCAGTTAAAGTGTTAGTTTTGGGGGAAATGTCTAATTTTTAATTAAACAGAAGTAGTTTTATCACTACCTGTGACATCAGCAAAGTTATTTAACTACTCTATGGCTTCAGTTTCCCCATCTATAAAATGAAGGGATCAGACTAGACCTTAAATATCCCTTTTGTGCTAAAATTTAATTTTAAAAATCTTCATTACAATAAAATGTTAATCAGAACCTCCAACTTCAGAATTTTTTTTTCTTCCTGAACTCTATTTTTAAGACAGAGAGAAAGCAACAACCAAACAAGCTACTCTTGTGGATTTTGGGGATTAAGAAGGAGGAACCTTGATGGGTATGCCTCAGGTTCCTATAGGACCACCCTAAATATCTATATTCACAGTCTGTATGATGATAATTGAGGTTAAGAATGACAACTCAGAGAAAATGAACATCCTTAATAAAAGATTTAATTATGGTGTACATATACTAGTATAGCTAGTAAGTGAATTAATACAGTTTATAAACTTTTACAGGTGAAACAAAGTATTTTCTGATTAACGATGAGTTAACCAAAACACTCAGAACTACATCCCTTAGGAATTCTAATAAAAAAATAAAAGTTTAATGTAAAATACTTCCCTTTTATTTAGATGGCACTAAATAATTTTCTTTTTCTATTATTTAGAGATTCTTAATTTGGTTGTAGATGCTGCAATAATTCTGAAATCTAACCCAACTGCCATAATTGGGTGAAAAAATTTTATTAATTACTGCAGGCAAATAAGAACCACTATTTTTGTGGAACTAAGGTTAACAATATCCACTAATAATTTTAATAGTGCTGGATTGAAAAGGTAAACTTTATTCAAAACAGTATCGTTCAGTCTAATTTCCACAGAAATAAGTGGAGATTGTTTTCTCTGGAGATGATTCAATAGGTTGATAAAGAAAAAGTTAAAATAAAGTCTGTCAAGAAAATAATGTTTATTAAAGATAACCAGTGAAAGTGAGAATTATGCTTAACCATTTATGCCTAAGGTTAATAAGTGAAGTGTTTTCTGTATTCCAGCATGAATAGGATGCAAACTAGACTATAACATAGGTACTTTTTAAAATCACAGAATAATAGAAATCAAGTTGCAAAATATAAGTAAAAGAATATCACATTGTTTAGTCTTTGGCTAAATGGCCCAAAGGAGTGTTAGTCTGTGAAATGTCTATAATTGGGACCCAGCTCCCTTTGTCCTTACCCGAATACTGCCTGTCTGAAACTGTCAGAAGCTGTAATTAGCATCAGGGTCATCAATGTTGGAATCTCACTCATTCAAAGAGTTTGCAGGTAATTGAGCATCCTTGAATCTAACCTCTATTCTAGGAGAAAAATATGAACCTAAATTTCAGTAAGGCAAAGAAACTTCTCTCCTTACCTCTTGCCAAAAGTAGTCTAAAGGAACTCAGAAAAACACAGAAAATCACTTTAGAAAAAGTATTAGTACCCATTTAAACTCAACACAACCTGTAATTACATCAATCTACAAATATTCAGTGTGCACATACTATGTGCAAAGCAGAGAGCTAGGTCCCTGATGGGACACATACAGTAATATATGACACAGTCCCTGTCTTCAAGGAACTTACAATCTATCTGGGAAGGTGAAGTGTTTCATAACCTGGCCGTTTCCTACCTTTCAGCTTTCTTACACCTTACTCCCCTCCACACACTCTTATATTCCAGCAACACTGGCTTAATTACAGTTCCTCAAACATGACACTGTCTCTCATCTACGCCTTTGCACTGACTAGGCCCCATGAATGGAATGTTCTGCCCTTTCACCTCCACCTCTTAATTTTCCTAGTTTCCTTGAAGACTCGTTTCAAATCTCACCTTCTTCAGGAGATCTTTCCTGGCTCCCTCAGCTGCTAATGCCTTTTCCTTTAATTTTCCCTTATATATTCTGGATATATCTTGTATGTGCCTAGATATTTACATGCTGTCTCCCCCATTAGAATATATGTTCCTTAGGGGCAAGGACTGTGGAGTTTTTTTGGGGAGAGGGAGGGAAGGGATATTTTTGTTGTTTTGTTTTTGATTTGAGGAGTTTAATAAATGCTTGATGCCTAATTTAAAAAGTTAAATACCACCACCAGATTTAAAGAACAATATAAGAGATATAATAAAGCACTCTACAATTATTTGCCTCCCAAATGGTACAAATAATAAGTGCCAGGAGTTTAGAATTGCAGAAACAAATAATTTAAAATTGTGGTGACAGGCAGCATGATAAAGTATAAAGAACATAGCACTAAAGTCAGAGAACTTGTGTTCAAATTCTGTGCCTGGTGCTCTATAACCTTGGGCAAGTAACAACCTCCCAGGGCCTCAGTTTTCTCATCTGAACCATGGAGGATCTGGACTAGATGGTCACAAAGGTCTCTTCCAGCTTTAGATCTATGATCCTAGGAGTCTTATACGAATCACACATTTAAAGGATTTAGAATGGAGTCCCAAATCTACCTCTTACTATATGACTTTGGACAAGTCATTTACCATCTCAGAGCTTAAGATGCCCTCATTCATGAAACTGGGTGAGTGCTATCTGACTTGCTGAGTATCATGAGGATGATGGGAAAGAAGGAATATGAAGTACTTTGTAAATTCACAAATCTATAAAAAATTAGACTACAATTAATTTTCACAATTAAAGAAATTAAGGACTTGAGAAATTAGGAGGAAGAGACTATTTTGGGTCAGGCTGATCTGGAAAAGCTTCATAAAGGCAAGGATGATCCAACCCCTACTTCAAAGATGGGCAGAAAGTATATTCTAGACAAGGAAGAAGGCCACAAAAAGAAAAGAAAAAGTGTTCAGGTATCTAAAGAGCAATTCAGTTTGTCTGAAGTGGAAGGTTACTACAAGAGAGCTAAGGCTGGGTCTAGATTGTAGCAAATTGTGAATACCAAACTTAGGAATATAGACTATTATTCTATAAGCCATGGAGAGCAAATGCAGCTTTATGAGTAAAGGACATAATCCAAATAGCATTTTTTAGAAACGTAAAGCTAGTTTAAGCCCAATTTTATCTTCTGTCAAATTCCAGAGACAAAAAGTCCAAATTTATTACCTTTCCTGATGTTGATTACAGCTTGAGGTCACCCAAATGGTGACCTGTATTTGAAAATAAGTCCTAAGGGGAACCATGTGGATATACTAAATCATGATTACACTTTAAAAAAGGCAGGATAGCGCACTAGAAAGAGCTCTTGATTTAGTATCAGAAGATCTGGGCTTGAATCCTGTCCCTGTTAAGTACTCATAGAACCTTGGGCAAGTCACAACTTCTATGGCTTCAATGTCATCATCTTTTTTCCCTTTACAGTTCCTAAGAAGGCAGAAAAAAGATGTTAATGGGGGTGTGGAGAAGTCATCAGAGTAAGAAAAGTTATAGCAAGTACAAGAACAGCAGAACCAGGGAAGGGGCAGGAGGTGGAAGTCTGGATTGGCAGGGGAGAAGGATTTGCCACCTTTACCACAGGCACCAATGTGAAAGAAAAAAAATCCTTCAGAGGTAGGTCTAAACAGAGTTTCTCTTCCTTAAAGCTAAAGCAAAAAAGGAAGAATGCAGCAAGTATCTGCTTCTGTTTCAGGTTCCAACTACTTTGAGGGCTTCTAGGTACCACTTCATCCCCACTTCAAGCCACTGCTAGAGAATAACCCCAATAGATCCAGGAAAGATAATTTAAAAATTATTGGACCACCTGAAAGCCATGATCAAAAAAAGAGCCTAGACATCATTTTCCCCAAAATTATCAAGGAAAACTGCCCTGATATTTTAAAACTAGAGGGTAAAATAGAAATGGAAAGAATCCACCAATCACCTCCTGAAAGAGATCCCCAAAGGAAAACTCCTAGGAATATTGTAGCCAAATTCCAGAGTTCCCAGATCAAGGGAGAAAATATTGCAAGCAGCCAGAAAGAAACAATTCAAGTATTGTGGAAACTCAATCAGGATAACACAAGATTTAGCAGCTTCTACATTAAGGGATCAGAGGGCTTAGAATATGATATTCTGGAGGGCAAAGGAGATAGGATCACAACCAAGAATCACCTACCCAGAAAAACTGAGTATAATCCTTCAGAGGAAAAAATAGACATTCAGTGAAATAGAGGACTTTCAAGCATTCTTGATGAAAAGACCAGAGCTGAACAGAAAATTTCACTTTCAAATACAAGACTCAAGAGAAGAATGAAAAGGTAAACAGGAAAGAGAAATCATAAGGGGACTTATTAAAGTTGAACTGTTTACATTCCTGCATAGAAAGATGATATTTGTAACTCATGAGACCTTTCTCGGTATTAGGGCAGTTAGAGGGGGGTGGAAAAAAAATATATGTATAGATAGATAGATAGATAGATATAGAGATAGCTAGATAAATAGAGGGCACAGGGTAAACTGAAGATATCTAAAAAATAAAATTAAGGAGAAAGGGAGAGGAAGAATGGGGTAAACTCACATAAAACAGACAAGAAAAAGCTTTTACAGTGGAGGTGAAGTGGGAGAAGATGAGAGGGAATGAGTAAATCTTATTCTCATTGGATTTGGCTTAAGGAGGGAATAACATACACACTCAATTGGGTATGAAAATCTATCTTACCCTACAGGAAAATAGGGAGGAAGGGGATAAGTGGGGAGGGGATAATAGAAGGGAGGGCAGATTGGGGAAGAGGGTAATCAGAAGCAAACACTTCTGAGGAGGGACAGGGTCAAAAGAGAGAACAGAATAAACAGGGGTGGGATAGGATGAAGGGAAATATAGTTAGTTTTTGACAACATGACTACCATGGAAGTGTTTTACATGACTACACATATATAACCTATATTGAGCTGCTTGCCTTCTCAATGAGGGTGGGTGGGGAAGGAGGAAGGGAGAGAATTTGGAACCCAGAGTTTTAAAAACAAATGTTAAAAATTGTTTTTAC